CTTTTTAAAAGCCTCCAGGGATGGAGCCATCCGCAACCTCTGGGGACGAGTTATTCCACGGGTTAACTGTTCTCACCGTGAAGAAATTTCTCCTCCGTTCTTGGTTGCTTCTCGCCTTGATCCGTTTCCATCGGTTACTCCTGCTTTGAAGAATAGGTGGACCCCCCTCTTTTTGGTGGGAGCCCCTCAAATATTGGAAGGCAACTGTCATTGTCACCCATCGTCCTTGTTTCGGTTAGATTAAACCAACCCAGTTCCTGCAACCGTTCTTCTCATGTTTTATCCTCCAGTCACCTTGTCCCTGGCAGGATCCATGCATGATTAAATGAACCCTTCGAACAATTCGCTGAAATAAAAAGTATGACTTATGCACAAATCTAAAAGCCTGAGCGTGGATTGTGTTTGTTTGCCTTTTACTTGGAAGGATGGTCCTCTCCCTCCCTGGAAATATTTTCCCAAATTCCCCGACAAGGAGAAGAATCCGCGAAACCTGCAGCTCCGGCTGGATTCCAGCCGGCAAAGAGTTAAACTTTTCTATCAGGGGGCTGGTATTAAAAAGAAGAAAGCAAAAAAGGAAAAAAACCACCCCGATTTCCCTGAGAAAGAAGGTGAGGGGAAACTTTTGCGGGGAATGGGATCTGTTAGATTCCAGGCTGGCTGGGCCAGAGGAGAGACCCATAATAAAGGCCCCGGAAGCCAGGAGGATCCGCAGCTCCTACTTAAGTGCAATTAGATTCTTTTCTTGGGGCTGAGCTAAAAAGAAAAGGAAAGAAAGAAATCTTGTTTTCCTTGCTGAGCTGTAAGTTTTCTGCAGAAGGGGAGAGTAAAACAAGGCAAGGCGAAACAGAATGCACCTTTCGCAAAAGGTGTTTCCCCCCCTTTTCCTGCTCGGGGTCGCCCTGGGAACAGCCTTGCCCCCCACCCCCCCTTTCCACAGCAGGCAAACCAGCACACACACACACACACACACACACACACACACACACACCCCGCACAGGCGGCTGGAGCAAAATAGCTGCTGTTCACTGGAGCAGGGCTAAATCCAAGGCGGGTGGAGGAGGGAGGCAGGCCGACCAACCACCAGCGCTTGCCTAAGTTCTTCCCTTGGTTTTTTGGCGGCCAGGAGCCCTTAACTTGGATGGGCATCGGAGAGAGAATCAATCAATCAGACTAGAGCTGGAAGGGTCCCCCGAGGTCTTCTAGTCCAACCCCCTGCTCAAGTAGGAGAACCTGCATCATTTCGGACAGGTGGCTGCCCGGTCTCTTCTTAGAAGACCCCCCGTGACGGAGCAGCCACCATTTATGGAGGGAATTTTTTCGACTGGTTAATTGTCCTCCCTGTTAAGAAGTTCATCCTGAATTCTAGGTTGCTTCTCCCTCCAACCCTTGTTTCTCCTCTTTGTGGCAGCTCCTCAAATACTGGAGTTTATGTTTTTTATGTCACGCCGAGTTTTTCTTTTCTCTAGACTAGACATACCCAGTTCCTACAGGCCTTGAATCGTCTTAGTTGCTCTTCTCTCCACTTTTTCAAAAAAAAAAAAAAAAAAAAGTGGCTTATGGCCATTTTTCCCCACTTTATGACCGCTACAGCATCCCTATGGTCACGTGACCAGAATTCACTTGGCAACTGATTCATATTTATAACGGTTGCCGTGTCCTGGGGGGCGGGGTCAGCTGATGATCCCCTTTTGGGGGGGAACCTTCTGTCAGGCAAAGTCAGTGGGGAAGCCAGATTCACTTAACAGCCGTGTCACTAACTGAATCACTGCAGCGATTCGCTTAACAACGGTGGCAGGAAAAGGGCGTGAAACGGGGTAAAACTCACTTAAACAACTATCTCACTTAGCAGCAGAGATTTGGGGCTCCGTTGTAGTCGTACGTACGTCGAGGACTACCTGTGCTGTTTTTTTTTTTTTCATTACAACAAAAAGACTCCAGCCTTGGCCACCTTCCAAGACCTCTGTGGTCTTCAACTCCCAGAATTCCCCTGGCTGAGGAATTCTGGGAGTTGAAGTCCACCGGTCTTAAAGTTGCCAGGGTTGGAAATCCCTGGATTATAGCCGAAGGGGAGGAGAAGGGGGGGGGTTTTTTTTGGGGGGGGGGGGGGTGTACAGGAAAAAAACCACTGGTTTCTTCAGGCGAATTGGGGTAGAAGCCCCACGTAGGCATCAAATCCCCCTCTCCCCCCCCCCTCTCTTTTTGGCCAGGCATTTATTCTCCCCCTTTCAACTGAGATCATTTTCGAGTTACGCTTGGGAGGGAAACTTCCCCCTTTCTCTCTGAGGGAGTTTCTCTTCCACCCACCCCCCTAAACCCACTATTTAGGTGAAGAAGTGGTGATAATATGCAGTTTGCATTTGGCTGGCGCCAGTTTGACTGGCCCTTCTATCTGACGGCCTGTCTTAAAGCAACAGCGCCTCTTATTTTTAAAAGCCAATCTTTATGGCAAGCCAGGGTTTGTGTGTGTGCGCGTGTGTGTGTGTGTTTTAAACCTCTCCTTTTGCAAACGTGTTTTTCAAAACTTGCCAAACCTGTACAGGGGAAGAAGAACCAGCTTACCTGAGCCTGAATGTCTTGGTTTTTATGAATTTTTCTCTCGCCCCAGTCATATAATAATGCAATTAGAGGAGGAACGGAGGAAAAATCCAGGAAAATGTTTCTTGGATGCAACTCGTGATAGCCTCCATCTCATAAGCATGTTTGCGAAAGGCCGTTTTCTGTCTCTCTCTCTCTCTCTCTTTTTTTAATGTCATTTAAAATAGGGAACCCAGAGACCCTAACATTGCTGTTAGCAATTTTCCTTTTTCTCAGCGCTGCAAGTTGATTAGGAAGTGAGCTTTCCTTCATTTTTTTTTTATTTGTTTGTTTTGCAGTACCAATGTCGTTTCTCCCGCCCTCTTGTTATGCTCTGAATTCAGTCTTTTGTATCTTTCCTATCGGGAGTGATGGAATTCTTTCCCCTGACTATTCCTGGGACACCAAATACCAAGTTCCTTGTAACAGAGGCAATAGAAACTTAAGGAGGAGAGTTTTGGCTGTCTTGAGCCTGGCTGGACATATCCGGAGGAAATGTTGCTCCTGCCAAAAAAGTGACAGTGTTGTTAGGAATGTTTTCTGCTTCAGAGTTAAACCAGTTTTGTTTGGTAGCCAGTTTTGACTATTTTAGTTCCCTGCTGAGCTCTGGGGCTGTGTTTACCCAGTGCAAAATAATAGGTGGTTTTGCTGAATGAGCTCAGTTGCACATATTCTTAAAACACCTGAACCATCCATCAAAACCTTCTTGGTTGGATTTGCAAACGCATGGCAATCCTTTCACCCGGTACATTTTAGGCTGTGTGTTGTGCAAAAAGCCAACTCTTTTGTAAACCACAATTAAAGACCCTTTGAGGCTCTTGAAAGGAGGGGAAATGGCACTTAACTGGATTCACACGTTGTCCTAAACCAGCACTCCCCAAACTTGGCAACTTTTAGACTGGTGGACTTCAACTCCCAGAATTCTCCAGCCAGCATAGCTGGAAGTTGAGGTCCACAAGTCTTAAAGTTGCCAAGTTTGGAGACCTCTGTCCTAAACCATGATTCCGTTTGTTTGGTCTGGATTCGGTGCGTTGCGCAAACGAAGACTCTGTCTCTAACGAACCATGCCTTAATATAGCATGTGAACATGCCATTATTGGCTGAAAACCGTGTTAAGAGGCTCTGCATTCTTGTATTGCTGGAACTGTGAGATCTTTTGACTTCAGCAAAAGATGGTAGTTTTCCAGGCGCACGGGGAATAAATTCTAAATTTGGGGGCTACCTCTTCATCTGACATGGAGAAAAGTAACTACAGGTAGTCCTTGACTTCCAACAGCTCATTTAGTAACCGTTCAAAGTTTACAACAGCACTGACAAATGGGACTTACGACCATTTTTCACAGTTATAGCTTTTGCACTATCCCCATAATCTTGTAATCAAAATTAAAATGCTTGGCAACCGGTTCATCTTTATGTCAGTCTTGTAAATCACCTTTTACGACTTTCTGACAAGCAAAGTCAATGGGGAAGCCAGATTCACTTAACAACCAGGTTGCTAACTTAACAACTGCAGTGGTTCACTTAACAACGGTGGCGGGAAATGTCATAAAACAGCAATAAAATGTCACAAAACTCTCTTAACAAATGTCTCGCTTAACAGCAGAAATTTTAGGTTTTAGGGCTACCTATTACAGGGTGGATCATGTTCCTTGTGAGGATCCAGCCAACTTAAAACTATGTTTCATTTGGTGGGATTGTTGTAGAGTAAAATGAACTTGAAAATTGCAAGCTGTAGTTTCTCTTGAAGGCATATTTGGTGGGATGAACACTATGCTGAATCCATGTAACTGATGTTTTCTACGTGTTGCACAAGAGACAAAGCACCTATGCCATCTTATGATTGAACATTATGGTTTGCTTGATGCAACATGCTAAGACAGTATTTCTCCACCTTGGCCGTTTGAAGATAGGTGGACTTCAACTTCTTGGAGTTGAAGTCCACACGCATCTTCAAACAACCCAGGTTGAGAAATGCCACGCTAAGACAGTCTTAGGGTTCTTAGGAAAGGCTGACTCATAGTCTACCCTGTGCCAATTTAGTCAAGTGTTGGGTCAACCAAGCAAGGGAACTTTAGATGGAGGGTTATTTGTGGCCCATGGAAGTCTTCTCCTCATAAGAATTGCATGCATCTAAACTAGAGGTCCCCAAACTTGGCCACTTTAAGACTTTGTGGACTTCAATTCCCAGAATTCTGGGAGTTGAAGTCTGCACGTCTTAAAGTGGCCAAGGCTGGAGACCTCTGACCTCAACCCTGTAGCTTAGCAAGGGAAGTTGAGTGGGTTATTCTGCTTCCTGTCAACGGAAGTATATTTTAATATATGCGAGGTTCTGATCAATATCCCATCCTTTGTTCAATTAGAAGTGACTTCATTGAGATAGAAACCACCTTTCTGAAAACTTGATTTGCCTCCTTTTTCTTTTTCAGAATCACCTCCACCTCCTTATTCCCGGCTGTCTCCAAAGGATGAGCAAAAGCCATTGAGTAAGTATCTTCTTCACCCTGACTTCCCTCTTCCAGTTTTCTGAGCGTTGGTAAGAGCATTCCACTTGCGGTGTCCACAACCGGAAACCTGTATTTTGTGGGCAACTTTTGGACTCTTTTTTCCAAAAGGAAGATGGCCACCTTTGGCTTTTCCCAAGTTTCCCAAGTTTTCCCAAGTTTTGCATTTTTGTGTAATGCAAAACTTAGACATAAAACATAGAATAACAGGGTTGGAAGAGACCTTGGAGGTCTTGACCCTATACCGTTTCAGACAAACGGCTGTCCAGTCTCTTTTTGAAAACCTCCGGTGATGGAGCAGCCACAACTTCTGGAGGTAGGTCGTTCCACTGGTTAATTGTCCTCACTGGCAGGAAATTTATCTTTAATTCTGGGTTGCTTCTCTCCTTGGTTAGTTTTTCATCCATTGTTTCTTTTCCTGCCCTCTGGCGCTTTGGAAAATAGTTTGATCCTCCCAGCTTCAAGGGCTTGTACAGTGAAGTACATGGAAGGCTTGTAACCAGGGGTGGGCTTCAAAAATTTTAGTAACGGGTTCTTTGCCAGGTTGCTGGGTGGGCATGGCCATGGTAGGTGTGGCCTAGTTGGCCTCCTGCACCACGGCGGGGGTGGTGGTGTATTTTTGCCCTCCCCGGACTCCGGAGGCTTTCCTCGTGCCTCCGGGAGGGCAAAAACAGCCTCCCCAGGCTGTGGAAGCCCTCCGGAGGCCGGAAACAGGCCCAGTTCCGGCCTTCTCAAACTTCTGAGAGGCCCGTTTTTTGCCGTCCTCTAGCCTCTGTGGGGACTCCTGGGTTGGCCAAAGGGTTCCTGTGCCCGAAGTTTCTGAAGGAATTTAAGATGTGAAAGTTGCATTAGGACTCCCAGTTCCCATCCACCAGCTAGGGATGCCTGGTCAGTGTGAAATAGAAGGGCGGCTTACAGGTAGTCCTTGACTTACCATCACAATTGAGTCCAACATTCCTGTGGCTTAAGCAAGGCAATTGTCATGTCCCTGTCGGAATCTGATTCCGAGGTGGAGGCTGAGCAGCTGACAGGGAGTGGGAGTCCATTGGCTGTGGAAAAAATGGGAAGGGCAAAGTCCGGCTGGGCAGAGCAGGGGAGAGGGGGAGAGCAAGGGAGAGGGAATTCAGAGGAAAGTCCAGGCCCACCCCCTCTTCATCCTAGGGCATGCAGGGAGGAACTGAGAAGGGAGCAACATGAGTTGCATGGCTTGCGGGGGAGGAAAGGGCCCTGATTCCCTTCATTAGCTGTAGCTGGGAACACAGCGTTTAAAAAGGGAAGTTGCGCACAGCAAGTTGTTGAGAGCAAATCGTGAGTTATCTGTTATTGTCGAGGTTTATCTGTGTTCCTGGCATCTTTCCAACTATGTGTATTTTGTCGGCCTTTGAAGCAATTCCTTCTCCTGCCCTGTCCAGTTAATTGCTGCAGCACGATTTTTGTGGATTTTTAGTTACAGTTTGTATGTACTTTGTTTTCGGACTGAATTTCCTCCACTTAAAAACTATTCTTGGGAGAATTTTTTTTCTCCAGTCGAAGGTAACTGGACATTGGGGGCAAAGTTGGAGGTATTAAAGGGACTTTTCTTACTTCTGTGACTGTGTTGCCTTTGTGCCAAGCCCCGGGTCATCACAGCAATTGTTAAGTGGGTCGCGCCTTTTTTGCCACAGTTGTTAAGCCAAATTGTAGCAGTTAAGTGAATCATGCAGTCATTAAAGGAAATCTGGCCCTCCTCCATAGTCTTTGTTGGCTGGGAAAGTTACAAATCTTGATCCAATGACCTCGGGACAGGACCACAGTTCTAAATACACGCCAGTTGCGCAATGCCTGAATTTTGATCAATTTGTATTGTGTCCACTCTGGATAATAATGTTAGACAGGAAACTCTTGAGTTCATGTGTCGGAACTCTGCTTTTTGAACCAGCAGGATTGAAAAAAAAAAAAAAAAGGAGGAAAACCCACAAAATCATTAATTGATTTTGGACCCGGTTTTTAGAGCATATTTTTAAAACAAGTGGCACCAAGTGCAGGAGAGAGAGAGAGAGAAGGAGAGACTTAACAAAAGACTTTTTAACTTGTTAAAACAAAGTTTTCTTGGTCTTGGGGGAGGAAGGAAGGAAGGAAACAAGAATAAACAGCTTCAAGAATTTTAATAGTGATAATTAAGTTAGAGTAACAATGAGTTGTTTGGAGGCTTAGTGTAACCTTAGCCATGGCGCTCCAAGTTCCTACTTGTTCAATCCACTCAACCTTGGGTTATTTTGGAGGTCCAAATCCTGCCCGTGTTTGTGCCTTTGGAAAAGAGAACCCCTGATCTTCCTTAGTATCCACCGTTGGCATCTCTGGTGAGGTTAGGAATAAAAACCTTGGTGAACTGCAGTCCCACATCTTAGCAGAAAAGACAGACTGTTTTGCCCTGAAAAACAAAACAAAACAGTTTTTCAGGGCAAAACAGCTATAAATAGCTATATTACAGGTAGTCCTTGACTTATAACAGTTCGTTTAGTGACTGATCAAGGTTAGAGCACTGAAAAAAAAAAGATTTACAACCAGTTTTCACACAACTGCAGCATCTCGGTGGTTACCTGATCAAAATTCGGACACTTGACAATTGGTTCATATTTATGACCGTTGCAATGTCCCAGGATCACGTGATCCCTTTTTGGGGTCTTCTGAGAAGCAAAGTCAACAGGGAAGCCAGATCTACTTAACCACGTCACTAACTTAACCACTGCAATGATTCACACTTAACAAGTGTGGCAAGAAAGGACATAAAATGGAACAAAACTCACTTGCAATGGAAATTTTGGCCTCAGTTATGGTCATAGGTGGAGGACTAACTACATTTTTTTTCCATTTATTGATGTCTTAAGACAGGAGTCCTCACACTTGGCAACTTGAAGACTTGTGGACCTCAACTCCCTATGCTGGCTGGAGAATTCTGGGAGTTGAAGTCCACAAGTCTTAAAGTTGCCAAGTTTGGGATTCTGGGAGTTGAAGTCCACAAGTCTTAAAGTTGCCAAGGTTGGACACCCCTGCTTTAAAACGAAGCAGTAGTATTTTGTGATTAGGATTAAGGCTTGATTGCCTATATTTTCATGAAGAGAGCTACTTAAAAGTCAGCCAGGCAAGAAGGCAGAAGCAGAAAAAGCACCAGTCGCCTCTAGGTTCACACGTTGCGTTAAACCGCAGCTTGTTTTAACTATTGTTTGTTGAAAAAAAAAAAAAGGCACGTCCTTTCACTTTCTCTCTTGTAAACCATGATTTGAAGTGATGCCTATGGTTCAAACGAAGACTTTTGCAGAATAAGCCACGAGCTGTGCGGTGTTTTGGATTTGACTCCAAAAAGATGTTCGTGAGCTAAAGTACAGATCCTGTCTGAATCTTTTGAAAGCAGCCGTGTCTTTCCTCAGAGGGTAAAAACCTTTGTTCAGTTCAGAGAAGAGCAACTAAGATGATCAAAGGTCTGGAGACCCAAACACATGAAGAACCGCTGGCAGGTTTTGGGTTTGGCTAGTCTAAAGAAAAGAAGAATTACGGGCGACATGATAACAGTGTTCCAGTATTTAAGAGGCTGCCACAAAGAAGAGGGGGCTAAATTATTCTCCAAAGCACCTGAGGGCAGGACAAGAAACAATGAATGCAAACTAATCAGAGAGAAGGAACCTGGAATTAAGAAGAAACTTCCCAACAGTGAGGACAATTAACCAGTGGAACAGCCTGCCACCAGAAATTGTGGTTGTTCCATCACTGGAGGTTTCTAAGAAGAGACTGGACAGTCACTTGTCTGAGGTGGTATAGGTTCTCCTGCTTGAGGAGGGGGCTGGACTAGAAGACCTCCAAGGCCCCTCCAGCTTATTCTACTTCTACCTCTACTCTATTCTCTGCTTCCAGCTGTTTTCGGGGATCCCAGAAAACAATATGGCTGCTTTATGGAGAAGCAGATAAGTCCCTCGCACAGGTGTGAAAGCACCTTTGAGGAATTGAATCAGAACCATTGCGCAGCCCTTGTGGGGGGGAAATGCTTCTTGGGATGGTTAAAATTATTGGCCACTTTGGAAATAACACGTGCCCTTTTTCCTCTGCTTCCTAGACCTTTCAAATTCCACATTGTCCTACACTGAAACGGAGGCTACAAATTCACCCAACATCATCGCCAGAGACTTTTCTGGTAGGTAGATCTTTCCATGTGTGCGATACTTTCTGAAGAAAAATATCTGGTGTCTGTGGAGATCCTCAATCATCCAGTGGTCCCAAAGGTCGAAGCACAAAAAAAAAAGGATCTTTGGGACTTTGTGTACTAAAACAGCAACAAAAGTGGTCACAATATTAAACAACAGGAATCAAAATACCTTCACAAGAAAAAGCTAGTTAATACACAGGTAAGTCCTCAATCTGCAGTGGTTCATTTAGCGACCATTCAACGTTACAGCAGCACCGAAAATAGCGAGTTAGGACTGTTTTTCACAGTTTATGACCACTGTAGCATCCTCATGTGTAATAAACACAGATGGCTGAGGCTTCATTTAACATCTTTATAAACATATTAAATAAATTTTACAATGCCAGTTGTAGATTTCTCCAACATGGAGCAAACTCAAACAGAAACATATTGGAAGCAACTTTCAGCAGCAGCTCAGAAACAGGTATCAGTTTCACTTTAGTTCAGACTGGCAAGCAGAGGAGAGAGGCCGTTTCATTTTCAGTAGACAGACTCAGAGCTCAACAGAGCTGCAGAGCTTAATATAGAGCCACGCCTAGGCTACTTCTAGTTTCAGTTTCCAAACAGTCCTCATTGGCTGACTTGGCTGACTTTGTTACCAAGCTCTATTCCAGTTCATGAATATACTCTGACATCATGATCATGTGATCAAAATCCAGAAGCTTAGCTGGTTCATACTTCCCACGGTTAAAGCATTGTGGGATCAACGTGATCCCCCTTTGCAGCCATCTGACAAGCAAAGTCCACGGAGAAGCCAGATTTTATTTTTATTTATTTTTATTTGTCAATTGCTTACAAGGTAATAGGTATAAGTAAAAACATAGTTATGAATACATGGATACATATAAGAAAATTTTTTAAAAAATTCACTTCTGTGTTCCTTGCCATTGCAATGACTCACTTAACAACTGTGGCAAGGAAGGTCATAAAATGGAGCAAAACTCCCTTAACAACAGTCTCTGTCAGCAGCAGAAATTTTGGGCTTAAGTCAAGGTCTGCCTGTGCTTCCTCTCTGGCAGGATCTCTTTAACATGGACTTGGATCTGGGGAAATCACTTGCTGATCCCAATAAAAGGCTCCCGTGTTTTAGCCACTGGTATTGTTAAAATGTGCTTTAGCCACTGGTATTGTTAAAATGTGCCAAGCAATACATTTTATCAATACAGGGAAAGCATGAAATACATTCTAACAAGCTCCGTTCCAGAAATCTGCAATTGTCAAACTCATTAAGAATTAACGAGGAAAGAAAAGTAAAACAGATTCAGAGTATTTGATGGTGGTACTGAAAATCAGCAAGCGATCTTTATCTTTCATGGCCAATGTCTGTTCCTCAAAATAGACTGCAAATGTGCTTTGTGTAAATATTTCTATTTGTCTGAATAATCGTTTCTCCAAAAATTGCTTGAATGCTCATATTTAAAAATAAACTTCACCTGTTTCTATTTATATACTGAACCTTGAGGCTTGGGAAGTTTCTCTGAAATATTAATAATTTGTTTGCTTTTTGCAGGAAAAAAAAAAAACAATTCCCCAAACCCTCTGTATATCACTTAAATTGCCAGTAGATTTTTCCTACTGAATATCGGAGATAATTAGTTTACTTTATTGATTTATAGACTATATCAAAGTGCAGAGTTCCAAACACAATTTATTACTGAAATCTGATAAAAACAGTGTAAAATAGAATTGGAATGAAATTTACAATTTAAAATGCAACTGGAATAAAATGCAATACTTTAATATATAGATAAACTAGCTCGATACCCGTGCTTCACTACGTGGTCGGGCTTAGATTTGGGGAGGAAAGTAAGGGGTGGGTGGAATTGTGCTTCTGCCTGCCAGCATCCATCGGTATTCATCTGGCTAGTGTCCTGTCAGTGTGTGAGAGAGTTGAGGGCTATTTGGAAAGTGAAACTGTATTTGCTGAGTGAGCACGGAGACAGCAAGGAGCCTGGGCGTGGCTTAGCTCAACTGTTCTATACTAAAGCTGTTTGCTGCTCTGAAACTAAAACTCCTCTCCTCTGCCTGTGTTTTGCATTTGGAGCAGATTTCTTTCCAGGTGGGGAGGGGGAGTAGAACTCCTTAGCATCAGAGCGTGTTAATAATAATAATGTAGGAAATACTAATAGCTCTGATGGTCGTTTCGAAAAATCCTTTCTTAGTGAGCACCTAGAAGCCAAGAGGAACATACGTGCCAAAATTTCAAGTTTGAAGGCTGTACGGTTCTGGAGATTTTGTGATGATGCATGAGTGGTATTTTGCTTTTCTATATATAGATAAATAATAAGTATATTACTGCTTTGAAACACATGCAAATGCACATAACTTCTATAAGTACAGTAATGCATGTTGCCTCTCCTATTTCAAAAATTATCCCTGCCCTGTTTAGCGAGGAGTCCAGTCATGGTCTTCCTGTTTTGCAGGGCTCTTGTTTGCTCAGGAACTTTGATAACCTCATTTTCACCTTCTCTTGTTATTGTTTGTGAAACTGCTAGTGTAGGGAAGTAGGGAAAAATTAACGTTACTGATTGTAGGTCCTTTCTTTCTTTTTTGGGAAAATGTACTTTGCAGGCTTCTGCTTGGTTTAGATTTAGAGCTCACTAACATGCACTTAAGTTTGTTTCCCCCCCCCCCCCGGAATGAGGTTGTTGGTGATTTGTATTTAGAGCAGGGGTCTCCAACCTTGGCCACTTTAAGCTTGCAGGACTTCAATTCCCAGACCCCTGATTTAGAGGAATCCTACACGGAGGGTGAAAGGAACCTGCTGAGCAAGCCCACCCGAAGTTTAACTCTCAGGGAGGCTAGCGGTATTGATGGAGTGACCAGAGCAGTGGTGAAAAGGTGGCTGAATGATTGATGGATGTCCTTTGGTGCCGTTTGGCCCGTTGAACAGCGACAGTCTCATGGCGTTGCAGCCGCAGATGTTGGAAATGAACTTCAAAATGTGCAGGTTGCCTTTAACCTTACGGCCACCATCGAACCCGAAATTTCTGTTGCTAAGTGACAGTTGCTAAGGGCGCTTTGCCCCATTTTACAACCTACCTTGCCATGGTTGTTAAGTGGTAAAGTGTTAAAGGTATTGAAATTTAAGAGCTGACCAACAGAATGGATCCACAGAAGTTTTGCCTCTTTAAGAGGTGACTATTATAAAGGCAGCCATTAGAGGGCGTGTTCTCTCTCTTTGTGTCCTGTAGCCATTGCAGAGTTCTCCGTGTAGAGTTAAGAAGATGGATTGCTTGTCAGGTATTTGCCTACCATGTGTATGTCTGTATGCTGTGTTTTGCTCCTGGGTGTCTCCTAATAGTAGTGACACTGCAAACGTGCTGACATGAAGTCAGTAACATGGACCTAGCTTCCCCATTGAATTTGCTTATCAAGGGGATCCACATACCAGGACAATGCAACCGTCATAAATATGAGTTAGTTGCCAATGTCTGAATTTTGATCACATGATCATAGGGGATGCTTCAAAAATTGTAACTGAGAAATGGTCACAAGTCCCTTTTCTCGGCGCCATTGTAATTTTGAACAGTCACTAAACAAACTGTTATAAGTCAAGGACTACCTGTATACTTTTTGTTTTTTCAGGGCCCAAGCATAGAAACACGATGTTCCATTAGATTATATCTGAGCAATTGTCTGTCATCTGTGGGTGAAGTTTAATTTATCCACCCGGGGAATGTATCCTATTTAACTGCAATTGCTCCTAAAAGCTGTTGGAGCAAATGAACTCCTGCGGATGTGTTACTTAACTCTCAAACATGGCGGGAATGTAAGGTCCCCCCAAAACAGAGCTGGGCTATTCCCACAGCCTGGTGTGCGCAGGAAACCGTAAGAACTTCTCTTTTCTTCTCTCAAGATGGATTGTGTGCCAGCTCGGAGAGGAAAGGTTGAGAAAAGCTTCCAGAAATTTGATTCCAACGTGTAGGAATGTGAGATATTTTTTGGGCCTCAGGAAGGGACATGTGCTTGCGTGGTAGAAGAACTCAGCCTGTCTTGGCTTCTGACTCAGCTCTGAAGCTCAAGTAAATACAGTTTCTGACCACTGACCTAAAAGGAGGGGTGGGGAAATATAAGGTGCTTTTACTATCAACTTTTGGACGCTGAGCTCTGCAACATTTGGTGTGACCCAGCGCCCAATTCTCTCTCTCTTTAAATGAGCTGTGGATGAGCGGTCCAGATGTTCTTTACTTCCAGTGATGGGTTCATGTGGCATCTTACCTTTGCGTAACCGTCAGAAGCATGCACACACACACACACACACACACACACACACACACACACACACAAAGTGGGTTTAAAACTTTTCTGCTAGAACAAAATAACGATCACTTGGTAACCAAAATGGTAGTGTAATTGGATATTCCCATCTCCTACTGTGGAATTTCAAGCGGCTCAGCTTTTCATAAGCGTCTAATGTGGGTTATTTATCTTCCCCCAGTGGGCAGAGCCGCATCTATAGGATAAGAGGCTGGCTGCAGTTTAACCCTTCCCTGGCCAGATTTAAAAGCAGCCGTTTTGGGGATCGGTGAGCCAAATATCAGCCTTCCCTGATCTGGGAGAGGCACCAGATGTGTTTTGGCTGAAGTTGCCTGAACTGGCCAGCGGGAACAGCCCCCATGCTGGCAGTGAATTGGTTGGAACCAACATGACCCAAAGGCTGCTGAGGTTGAGTCCTAGCAGAGTCCGTTGGATGAGTCTGATGAAGAGCTGGGGGCCCTCCGTAGAGATGTCGAGGGGTGGCGCTTTCCTTTCTGGATCGGAGGGCAATCTGGTTGCAATACGTGGCATTTCCCCACCCCACCCCCACCCCCCACCCCAATTGGTGGCTGGAGAATTCTGGGAATGGAAGTCCATGCAATTTACAAGTTGCCAAGATTCTCCTGTTTCAGCAGGGGGGTGGACTAGAAGATCTCCAGGTCCCTTCCAGCTCCTGTTCTATTCTATTT